AAAAATATTATTCTAAACTAAATTAAAAATAATTCATGAAAAGCATCATGTAATTTCAAAATAAACTAAGGGCATTTTGATTATCTCATCGTCGAATGCCGGTAAGGCATAGTTTGCCACCTCGCATTTGTTTTTCTCCTCATCTTCGGATGAGCTTGATTTGTCTTTTAGCAACATCTTTTTGCATTCATAACAAGTAGTTCCGCTCTTTTTAAGTTTATTTTTGTTTTTTAATTGTTATTTCATGAACTTTTTAAATTTCTTAGTGAGAAGTTTAAGTTCACCATCACTTGAGCTTATGCTCAAGTGGTCTTTAATTGTTCTAAGTCCGAAATCCTTTCTGTTCTTTGAAATATTATTCTCGAGTTTTCTTTTTGTCACATTGTTCATTTCGTAGATTATTAAAGACCCAGTCAGTTCTTCGAGTGGAAGGTTGTTTAGGTTTTTAGCCTCTTGTATGACCGTTACTTTAGAGTCCCAAGTTTTAGAAAGCGATCGTAAAATCTTATTTACTAGTTCAAAATCCGAAAAACTTCTACCAAGTGCTTTTAAACCATTGACGACATCCGTAAAATGGGTGTACATGTCAATAACGGTTTCACTTTGTTTCATATGAAACAATTCGAAATCATGTATTAAAAGATTAATTTTGAAACTTTTAATCTACTAGTACCTTCGTGTGTGGTTTCAAGAATGTGCCAAATATCGAAAGTCGTTTCATACAAAGAAACCTGATTGAATTCATTTTTATCTAAGGCACAAAATAGAGCATTCATAGCTCTAGCATTTAGAGAAAACATCTTCTTCTCCAAATCATTCCAATCGTTCATTCGGAAGAAAAAATCTTTGAAATATATTTTTGACCATATTCCATAAATTTAAATCAATCGAAAGCAAGAAAATTCTCATTCGAGTTTTTCAATAAGTGTAGTTCATTCCGTTGAAAAAGGGAGGACAAATGAGAGAAAGTCCCTCTTAAAAGCCGAAAAGAGCCATTTCTCTTGGGTGTTAAACCAAATGAGAAAAACGAGGCTCTGATACCAACTGTTACGAACGAGTCGGCACTAAGAGGGGGGGGGGGGGGGGAATTTTTGCAAAAATAAAAAAAGTCTTCCAAACCATTTCCAAAAAA